TGATAATATGCTCGAAAGCTGGTGCAATTATATCACTGGTGTCTTTAATCACTGAAATCGGTATTTCGTCCGGACCTGTAGATTTTTTATTCGGTAATGAGTTTATGACCTCAAGTATTTCGTCCTCTGTGACGGGTTCAAAAAACATTGATGCAGGATTGAATTCACCTGTGGTACATTGTGTGGAAAACTGTTGACCAAAATGTTCATTCAAATCAGTTATCACTGTTGATAAATATCGTCCAAACACAGGGGCCATGTTTTCTGGTTCGGTTAGGACTTGGTATTGAGACTTACCTTAATTTCAAATAACAATCAATGATGAGGCAACTTCTAATCACTTCATAAAAACTTTTATGAGGCAAAAATCGACCGACTAGCCTACTGCCGCCAAAACGAATCTGACGCATGGCTTTTGCACACTGCTGCCAAATGTTCGAGCGTTGATGATAGTTTTCGGTCAAAACAGCGCCAAATTTCAAATAGATTTAGATAAAACACGTGTCATGCCGTCTCTTCAGTGGCGTACAATAAATGAATTCATTTAGCAAAATTTGTGGGGTGTAGTGTTTAGGCTTGGAAATAATGGAATGAAACTATTAAAACCAGGTGAAAGTGAGTAAAAGTTTACTTTAATAATGTTCAGGTAAATGAAAGTCCAATTGCAACAACATACAAGTATATTCAGAATAAAAAATCAACAAAATATTGGAAAAACAATAAATAATGAAATACCACCCAAATAAAATTTGTACAAATTCTTGTAGTACATAGTATAATTCATTACGTACGATAATATCCGTGAAAAAAAAATTATAAAACGACTCAGGAATCTACAGTTTTCAAAGTAATTAAACGAAATTTCTCAGGTCCTTCACTCCCCACGAGTCTATCCATGCTTTCTCAACATGTGGGTTTGTAAATTATCCTTCCACTTTGTTTTGAATTTACACAACTTGCAGTTGAGAATTTCATATTTCCCAACGTGAACCAGCACGTGATCCCTCATATGCTTCTTGTACTTCGTTTGATAATCGCACTTCAGACAGTAAAGAGTCTCCAGTTCTGGGGGCTTTCCGTGTCTTTTGATATGCTTGTTCAAGTAGCTCTTTTCTAAGGTTCGGTAGGTGCACGTTCCGACTCCGCACTTGTACGTTTTCACAGATGATAGATCTTCATGGGTTTTCTTATGCTGGGTCAGACCTCCCTTGTACTTTGTAGTGAAACTGCAACGGTCACAGCGATGGATTTTCAGCTGGTCTTCACTGAGGTGCGTCAAACGATGCCCCCTCAAACAGTCTTTGTACCTTGTTTCATAAGTGCATTCGTTGCAGCGATATATTTTGACCTCGGAGGAGTCTTTGTGTCTCAGGGAATGCCGTGTGAGATAATACCTCTTTGTGGTCTGGTAGTCACATTTATCGCAAGAGTACTTAGAGACACAGTGGAGATCCGAATGTTTTCTTCGTACATGTTTCCCAACTCTGAATTTATCTGCTGTTTTGAAGTCACAGTATTGACACTTGAAAGGTTTTTCACCTTCTTGGCTAGTGTCACTTTTACCGTTGCCTTTAATTTTTTTTGCTCTGTTCCCAGATGCCTTTTGGTTGGGGCTTGCGTGACTGAATTTTTATTGATTTTGTCTATGCTTTCTTCGCAGTCACTTGGCAACGGATCGCTAAAAAAATAAAACAAATCATCAACGCAACTGGACTTCAAATTACTTCCATCAAAAAATTCGAAACTAAACAATATATTTTTCCAACATCAGTAATGACAAAACAGAAGAGGCTGACATTTGCCAAATCAACACCGCCGTGTATAGCGTTGTTCAATCGGAAGAACGAAATCCCGGCCTTGCGATTCGGAAGATTGAACTGCGTGTACACAAGATGGAGGCTAAGATCACGTCGGCGAGACAACACGCGTCTCGTATCCAATGTGTGATGGAGTACAGGGCGGCCAACAGGCCATTCACGCCCGCAGTGCGGCGAATAGCCGCCAAACTACGACGTATCCATCACACTTTAAGTCAAGGCGTTCTGCTGACCACCAAACAGCACTGCCTTGATAGAATACGAATGCTAGTGGTTGCTAAGAAGTCACTAGTGAGGCGAGCGCTTATTCCAAGAGTCTCCACGTGTTTTGGATAATCCGCCGACCGCTGATCAGGTGGAATCCTTCTGGAAGGATATCTATGAACACCCGCAGCCACTCAACTTAGACACTCCAGCCCTAGTGCAGTTCGAATCTTTCAACAGAGAGCTTCGACAGCCTGAGCTCAATGAACTGCTCAACTCGATAACCCCGGATGACGTTCGAAGAGCCCTTGTGGGTTCCAAGAACTTTGTTGCTCCAGATCCAGATGGGCTGAACACTTATTGGTGGAAAAAACTAACAAGCACCCACCGCCATCTGGCCAGAGTTTTCAACTCATGGCTGGACGGAGAGCAGCGGATTCCGGATTGGTTTGTCGAGGAGCGGACCCCTCATCCCCAAAAGCGGAGATTTGTCGATTTCTAAAAATTACAGACCGATAACATGCTTGAATTCGTGTTATAAGTTGTTCACAAGCATCTTATACACACGAATATTCACCGTAGTTGACCGAGTGTTCAAACGGATATATGAGCAGAGAGGGTCGAAGAGAGGAGTCGCTGGATGTAAACAGAACCTGCTCATCGATAGATGTGCAACGCAAGACTCGATACAATACAAGCGTAATCTCTCTATGGCCTGGATCGATTACCGTAAGGCATTTGATACAATTTCGCATGAGCTCATCTAGCATTTGTTCAGACGCCTTGCGGTAACCGACAAAGTACCGAGATGCATGGAACAACTCATACCACTTTGGCGAACTCACTTCACCATAACATCTGGTCAAGCCAGAGTTCAAACAGGGTGGATCACTTTTAGAAGGGGTGTATTTCAGGGCGATTCCCTCGGTCCCCTTCTCTTCTGCATCTCACTACTGCCATTATTCGATGCGCTTAGAAATACTCGAGAGTATAACTATGGCACCCCCGGAAACCGGAGGCACAAGGTCACCCATTTGTTTTATATAGATGATCTTAAACTGTATGCCTCCGGAAGAAGGATCTCCCTCAGTCCTTGAGGGTGGTGGAAGAGTACACGCATGATATCGATATGAAATTCGGGATAGACAAATGTGCAATGGTCCATGTCAAAAGAGGACGATGCGAGGACTACGGAGAGGATATGCAGCTCGTAGATGGAAACATCCTACATCATCTGGATGCCGGAGAGACGAATACTTACCTCAGAGTGGAACAATGCCACTCACAAGAGGTAACAGCAGTGAAGAACTCTCTCTCTCTCTCTCTCTGCGGCAAATATCAGCACAAACTCCGACAGATCTGGTCATTGGAACTGTCGAGGAAGAACAAAGTTGCTGCAACAAATATGCTTGCCGTTCCAATCTTACTCTACTCGTTTGGAGTAGTGAAGTGAACTCGGGAGGAACTGTATCAACTCGACGTAAAGACCCGAAAAATGATGCATCTTTATAGGAGTTTGCATCCCAAANCTCGGGAGGAGCTGTATCAACTCGACGTAAAGATCCGAAAACTGATGCATCTCTATAGGAGTTTGCATCCCAAATCGTCCGTTCCACGGTTGTACTTCCCCCGACAACAGGGAGGCCGTGGACTTTTGAGTTTGGAGTGTCTGCATGACAGAATGGTGCTAGATACAGCCTGTAAAGTCGTCAGGAGTTAGGATCCTCTTCTCTGCATGGTCCGTGACCATGAGAGAGCAGGAATTGGAGCATTTCTCTTCAGGGCAGCTGCCTGAGTTGCTGATGAACTCGATCAAGTTTTTGGCACTGAACGAGGTGACCACAACTCTGTCACCTAGTTGGAACCTATTCAGCGAAAAGCTCAGATAAAAGCCGCAGAGATCATCTTACTTCTGCGGAAACACAAGGATAAGTCAATGCGTGGGGTCTTCTTCAATAACATTGGAGACCTTGGCTTATCAAATCGCCTGACCTTCGCTTTTCTCAGGTCGAGTGGGCTGAAGTCGGAAACTGAGGGGTTCATCATGGCTTGCCAGGATCTTCAACACCTTAGTCTACCGCAGTCGCGTGATGGGTATAGATGTTCCTGACCGAAGGTGCATGGCCTGCCGCGAGGCGCCCGAAACCCTAATGCACTTGCTATCAGCATATCCAGCATATGCGGTCTCGGCCTATATCCATCGACATAAGGCGGCCCTGAGAGTGCTATATTACCATCTACGACACTCTTTCGGTATTGACGAGACACCGGTGTTGCCCTACGCTCCGGGGGATATTGAATCCGTTGTGGGGAACGAGAAGTGCCGAATTTATTGAAACTATTCGTTTCCCACCCTCAGGCTCATACAAGCTAATAAGCCTGATGTAGTCCTTCCCGACCACCAGAGCAAGACGATATTTGTCGTGGAGTTTTCAGCTTCTAGCGAAACGAATATCGTCAGAAAAGAGGAGGAAAAGCGGATAAAATATCGATATTTTCTCTTCGAACTCCACAGACTCTATCCAGATCACTCTGTCAAGATGGTTGTTCTGATTATTGGAATCCTTGGTGGAATGATGTCCTCTCTACTCTCGAATCTTAAAATCATACCGGCTTGTTGGAATGTTCATATTTTCTCATTATCAAAAGTTGTTATTAATTATTATTAACTTCCTTATACCAGCATAATCCTTTCTGGAAGTTTTGTTCCGGCTACCATAAGACCATGACAAATTAATTTACTTCTCATTCAGGCTATGAAAGATCGTCATTGGAAGAGAATGGGTAATTTGACAGGTTACTCATTTGATGTCGATTCTCCTACTTTTACACTTAGGAACGTTATGGAAGCTCCGCTACTGAAATATAAAGATGACGTAGAAGACATCTGCATAAGTGCCGTTAAAGAAAAAGACATAGAAGCCAAGCTCAAGCAGGTGATTGCTGATTGGGCAGTTGTGGAGTTGTCGTTTTCGAACTTCAAAACTAGAGGAGAGTTACTTTTGAAAGGACAAGAAACGGGAGAAATTATTACCGTTCTAGAAGACAGTTTGATGGTCATGAATTCTCTCCTGAGCAACAGGTATGAATAGGGTTTATTACCAGATACAAGCTCCACTCTGATATACTATTCCAGGAGAAAAACTTTGGGAAAATTTCATTTAGAACCGATGCGCACCATTTGAATTTAAGATTCCGAATTTTACCAACGTTACCTAAACATAAAACAAAAACAACATTGTTCGGTATAGTCAGATATATATTTATAATCCTCCAATCATCAATTATTAGTAATTTTCCAAATGCCCCTTGTCAACTTTTAGCCTTTAAGGAGATGACATCATTTACCTAGGTTAGTTTATAACTCACTCAGAAGGAGGCAGTGTGTCGATACATCTGTTAGATTGAATGTTAGTGTTATGTAAATTGTGAAGTATTATTTTCTCCCTAGCCCATCAAATTTATATAATTTTTTAAATTTTATTGACTCTATTGCGAACACTTACAAGGAAAAGAAAAGATAAAACCATGGATAGAGACAGGAGACTCCAAATAACGTACCATAGAATTGTTTACATATGCTAATTAATTTTGATGTTAGAGAAAATGAAATTGTGATTCCTCCATCATTTCGAGTCGTTGCTACAGGAATCTTTTCTAGACGAATGAACATTCATTTATAGGTATAACGCTCCCTTCAAGAAAGACATTCAACTTTGGGTTCACAAGTTGGTGGACACTTCTGAAATCCTGGAGAAATGGTTGATTGTGCAGAATCTATGGGTGTATTTGGAAGCTGTTTTTGTTGGTGGTGACATTGCCAAGCAGTTACCTGCAGAAGCCAAACGCTTCAGCGTGAGTCAAACATTAAAATTTTATGCTCGATGAGCTCCTATCAACAAATTTATTTTTTCTTATACAAACATATCAGATATTCAAAAGTCTCTGAGTGATATACAATACAGGGTGTTAATTAATTATGTACCATAAATTCAAAAGACGATTCTTTAGGTAATTTTAAGACGAAATGTTCATATAAATATGAGTCCGCAATTCTTTCGTTCTCAAGATATAGGGTGTTGAAATAAAAATAAAAAAAGTTATTCGTAAATATCTTAAATATCCTTCACCTAATTTTGTTGTAATTTGGCAATGGTATTCAAGGAGCTAATTTAGCCCGAGTGTGCAATTTTTATTATGTCTTTGGATTGAGCAATTAGAAATACAACTTTTTTGTCTCTTGAATTTTTTTCGTATCTTGCTTAGTTTTTAAGAAGAAAAAGTCGACCTAATTGCATATCCGTGGACTTCACAAGGAATAATATGGGGAATTAAATGTTTCTTTTAGAAATTATTATTTTTACAATTTCTCATTACTAATTATGTAACTTGCTTAGTTTTTAACAAAAAAAAAGTCGACCTAATTGCATATCCGTGGACCTCACAAGGAATAATATGGGGAATTAAATGTTTCTTTTGTAAATTATTATTTTTACAATTTCTCATTACTAATTATGTAACAATAACAATAAATGTTAGATAACATTAACATCTAGACTAAGGAATTGCACCTAATTGAGTGTTGGAAATGGCCTCCTTCGGCTTCAATACAACCGTCTAGCCGCCGCATCATTGAATTTTGCACTCTTCTGAATATACCATAAATAATAATCAAGGGTTGCCTTGGAAAACTATTGCAGCATTTAAAAATAACAACAAATATTAAATAACATTAACATCTAGACTAACGAATTGCACTAAAATAAGTATTGGAAATGGCCTCCTTCGGCTTCAATACAACCGTCTAGCCGCCGCATCATTAATATTCGCACCCCTCTGAAAATACATGGCGTATTTTTCATTATGTCACATGAATTAATGATTTTATTCCGTAAATCCTCTTCACTTTGAATAGCAATTTTGTATACCAACGCTTCACGGTGTCCTCAGAGAAAATAATCTGAAGTATTCATTTCGGGCGAGCGAGGTGGCCATGGGAGTGGGCTTGCTCTCCCAATCCAGCCAACATGGTAATTTTCATCCGAAAATTGCCGTGCCACTACACTAAAGTGTGGTGGAGCAAAATCGTGCATGTACCACATACGGAATCTTTCCATGACTTGAATTTCTTCTAAAAGTCCAGGTAAAACAAATTCTAAAAACCTTCGGTATTCTTCTCCATCAAGTTTAGATGGAAGAAAGTGAGGCCCAATGAGATGGTCACCGACAATTCCAACCCAAATATTAAAAGAAAACTGTTCTTGAAAAGTATTTTCTATCAAGGCGTGGATTGTTTTCGGCCCAAATTTGATTGTTGTGGAAGTTAAGTGAAGTGAATTGCGAGAAAAACAAGCTTCATCTGTAAACAATATTCGACTCAGCAAACCTGGATTTCTTCTTATTTTACCGCATAACCAATTAAAAAAAGCTAGTCTTACAGGCAAATCTCTGGGCAATAGAGCTTGCACACATTGCATGTAATAGGGATATAGCTGCTGGGCTCTTAAAATCTGCCACACTGTGACATGGGTAATATTCAGTTCTTCAGCTATTTTCAAAGTACTGGTTTGAGGATTTACTTCAATCTCATTTAAAACAGCTTCTTCAATTTGAACGTTGCAGTCATCCAATGACAACCGTCGATCTTTTAAAGCTGCCTGTTTCAGAAAGTCGTGCATGGAGACGTACAAAAGTTCTTCTATTAGACACTACACGCTGAGAAAATCTTTCATGGTAAATGCATTTTGCAGCATTCGAGTTTCCGTGAGCCATTCCATAACAGAAATGCATATCTGCCATTTCACTGTTAGTACATTGGACCATGTTTTACAAAAAATTCGGGCACCAGCCGAATGTTTGACTTATTGGTGCCTAAACTAACTTTGGAGCAGTATCTTTGGCTGCATTTAGAATCAATAAAAATTGTAGCTTTTTACAAGTGTCCTATGGTGAGAGAACTGGTCATGAGGGGATGTCCACAGGGAGGGGTCTTATCACCCCTTCTTTAGAACATAGTTCTGGAAACACTGATTAATCTGTTTAAAATCTGTTTTTCCGTTAATTAGCTGTCGCCCCCATACAAACGACAAATCTCAGAAGTTGAGAAACTTGTGCGAGCTAAGTACTAACGAGGTCTTACCTTTTAACGTGTGATTCCTAACACCCCAACAATAATGGATTCTACATGATTGCATATGCAGATGACATAGTTATCTTGCAGACCGGCAAATTTGTAAATACACTGTGCGATAGATCGCAGGATGGGCTCAAATTGATAGAAACATGTTGTAAGGAACACTCACTGTCGATCAATCCCAAGAAGATTGAGATGGTTCTTTTCACCAGGAAAAAACGTTTATCGGGCTCAAAACCTCCTGAAATCTTCAAAAGCAAACTAAACTTCCCTAAAGAGGTGAAATACCTTGGTACTATCCTCGACAGGAAGCTAACATGGAACTCTCACTTACAGAGTAGAGCAAAAAGAGCATATGTGGCTTATGAGCAATGTCGGAGGATAGTTTTCTACCCCGTTAACGTACGGAGCCATTGCATGGGGACCTAGAGTTCTACGAGCAACGAGCATCCAAAAATTATATCAAATACAGCGATTGGCTTGTTTAAACATCACAGGAGCCATGAGAACAACAACAACCGCGGCAATGGAATTAATTACTGGTTTGGCCCCTCTGGACCCGTACGTTAAGGAGGAGGCGTTAATGGCCATGTTACGATGGCGCACGGCTGGTGTAAACCTCGAAGTAGAAATAGGTCAATTGAGGCTGAGCCTATGGGGAGATGCGCTTACTGCGCAACCTCTGATGCAGGCAGCCAGTGATGCAATTGAACCCAGGTTTGTGTTTAATACACCCTACAAAATATAAATAAAACAGAACACAGAGTCAGATGCTACAAATGCAATACGCATATATACAAACGACTCAACAACCAAAGAAGGCTCAGGATGTGAAGTGTATTCCAGATCACCAAGCCTAAGGATTAACTGTGGAATGGGGAAAAATACCAGCGTGGTTCAAACATAACTGGCTGGTATCTCAATCATCACAAAAGAAATAACCAGGAAAAGAATTTATGCCAAAAACATAACAATCTGCACTAATAGTAGACAAGCCCTATTAGCCTTGAACAGACAACGTGTTACCTCAGGGCTAGTACTAGAGTGCCTCCAAGATTTAGCCAGAGCCTCGGTGGTTGATAACATTATCCCGAGGTGGGTTAAAGGGCACGACAGGAGGAGGGGAGGTAATCGCATTGCCGACTCTTTAGCCAAGGAAGCGGCTGAACTAAGAATTTTAGGACCCAGTGACGCCTACGGCCTGATGACTTTGACAATTGCGGAACTAGCCATGCTCAATCCCTTAAGAGATGGGATGGAATCAAATGATCCGATCTTGCCAGGATCACCCTGGGCGACTCTGGGAAGCTGGCGCCGAAGAAATATCTGGCGATGACCAGGATTTCTGACTGGCCACTGTCAACTAAGGAAACACCTCCATGATATGGGGCTAGTGGACACACCTCTATGCAGGATGTGTGAACAGGAACATGAGACGTCAGGCATGTCCTATGCGAGTGCCCGGAGTTATCGTCAATCCTCAGGTACTATCAAGAAAGTTACATGAGCTGGGTTTTGGGGAAATTTGGAATAATTGGATCGATTCATTTATGTTTGGCAGAAGCCAATATGTAACCATCACCAATGTAATTAATGATAAAAAAAGAATAATGAACTCTCAACGGATACCTCTATCACTCGGAGTACCACAAGGTTCAGTCTTGGGACCTGTACTATTCCGAGTATATATAGATAAAATTGACGAATCTGTTCCTGATGCAAAGTGTGTGAAATTTGCTGATGACGTTGCCACGATTGTAACAGGCTCCGACCAAACAAGTATACAACGAAAATGCGAGCAAACAATGAGATCATTGAACTGGTGGTTTTCCAGTAATTCGCTTGTTTTCAATCCAAATAAAACAGTAATTATTCAATTTTGTAATTATCAAAAAATTCTTGACCCACTATATATTGATGTGAATAATCAGCTGCTTCCATTGTCAAAAAGTACTAAGTTTTTGGGTGTTGAAATTGACAAAAATCTTAATTTTAAAGTACATTGTGATGGCCTTATACCAAAATTGCATTCTTTAGCATTCAAGCTACGAAATCTTAGCTATATTCTCAGTCTAGATCAACTAAAAATTATATACTATGCTGAAGTGGAGTCGAGATTGCCCTATGGTGTACGTTTCTGGGGTTGGTCAACCAACGCAGGTAAAGTTTTTTTGGCTCAAAAAAACATCATCAGAAGTATCACTGGTATAAGTTACATGGAGTCCTGTGAACCTTTTTTCAAGAAATTGCAAATACTGACTTTACCCTGCTTGTACATAATGGAAATTTGTGTCTACGTTTTTCAAAATAGAAGTCAATTTTCTTTAATAGGCTCTACTCATACAATTAACACTAGGCCAAAAAAAATATATCAAGTTCCTCTAGCTCGAGGGCGGATTGCTCTTAAAGGTCCTAATGTTGCAGGTCCTCGTTTGTTCAATATTTTACCAACTGAAATAAAAGAAAGCAAAACATTAGAGATGTTTAAAACAAAGATTGAAAATTTTTTAGTTCTGAATGCGTATTATAGTGTTGATGATTATTTAACGTAAGTGTATGTGTGGTGTGTGCATGCGTTTTCGTGTGTGCTTCTAGTTTTAGTGTAGTAGTTTATAATTTTAGCTTTACTGACTATTCCTAATACAATTACTTATGAAATTGTCGAACAGGAAAATAAAGGATTTGATTTGAAGAGAGTGTGTGTTCGGCGAGTCTTGGCCTACACCTGCCGATATAAAGGATATGTCTCCCAATGACCTGTCCACCTTCCTGGAGAGGATAAGATGGACGATGACCCGAGGAGGACAACTCCTCGGGAAGATGTACAATAGGTCACATGTGGCCTAAGTGCTGTGAATGGTTTCCTATGATGTAGTTTGATAAGATTTTTTTTTGTCATTTGGTACTCGTTGCATTATTTGAAGAATGATCTAAATTCTGAATGATGACGTGAATTGTGAAGCACACGAATTATTGTTGTCTGAGACAGTGCTTCCCGCTCATACTTTTTTGAGTTTTATCAAAGCTTAGAAACTGTTGTTGAGTTTTTTACTCACACGTAATAATATATAATACAATTTCTATTATATGTTTATAATTCACTTTCAAATACACAACGTAAATATTCATTCGTGATATTGTTTTCAGAATATTGATAAATCGTGGAATAAAATAATGATTAGAGCCCACGAGATTCCCAATGCAGTTGAATGCTGCACAGGAGACGAAACCATGGGCCAACTCCTACCCCATCTTCTGGAACAATTGGAGACATGCCAAAAGAGTTTAACAGGATATCTAGGTAGGATACATATTATTTTGCAATAGGTGATCATTTCAAAATTAAACTTGCTTTCAGAATCGAAAAGGTTGTGTTTTCCAAGATTTTTCTTCATATCGGACCCCGTGTTATTGGAAATACTCGGTCAAAGTTCAGATCCGTCTTCGATACAAGCACACTTGCCCAGTTTATTCGATGCAGTTTTCAAGGTACTATCCACTTGTACACTCTCAATACTCATTTAATATCAAATGTCTGTTAACAAATTTAAATTCAGTGACCACAAAATTATTTGAGCCGACCTCAGTTGGAAATAATCAACTATGGTTCAAAAAATATGCAGAAAATCGTAGGAAGCTTCAAATCTAACTATTCACAAGAAACTATGAAATTTAATATAAACTTTTGAATTTGGCTCTCTAGAAAAAAGTGGCATATAAATAGTAGATATGGAAGTAGTTATTTCTATTCAGGATAATCTTGATGAAGAAAATTATGTAGTAGCTATTTTGTTGGACATAAAAAAGGCTTTTGACTGTGTTGATCATAAAATTATTTAAAAAAATTTAGAATCAATGGGAATTAGAGGCAGAGTAAATGATCTTTTAACTTCATATTTCACTAAAAGAACTATTTGCACTCAAATAAATGAAATGACTTCTGGCAGACATTTAATAAATAAAGGCGTTTCTCAAGGTTCAGTTGTGGGTCCAATTCTGTACCTATTATACATACAAAATATTTGCCA